GCAAAATGTCAGGTAATGCTGCCAGATCACCACATTGTCCCACAGGAACCAAACGTGGCTGGGAGCCATTCTTCTGGCCAGCTAACCTGGGCTGCTGAGTAGAGGTGTCCGCGGAATCTCCCTGCTGAGGAAGAGTGAGAGTGTGTTCCCAATTTTTAGTTGTTTTGTTTTGTTTTTTTTTTCCCCTTTTCTGGGTTGAATTTTCCCTCCATAAACATCTAGCAAAGCATGAGTAGTTTTCTAAAGAACTTGACTGAAATGCTTGTGCTTTGCTCTTTGCAAATTATCATCACGTAGGGTCAGATCAAAACAGTCTACAGTCAACTTAAATGCTAATTGAACACTGTCAGTGAGCATAATTGAGAGAAAAAAAGTATAACCTTTTACAGGTGCCTTAAATTGAAACTAGGCACTGACACACTGAGTCATTTTAGGAGAGTTTAAAACACATATTTGAGACTCTAAGGCAACAAAACACAAGTTATTCAGTTTTCTTTATGTTTCTTGAAGGAACAGAAAAAGCATTTGCCTGAACATCTGAAGCCTAAGAATAAAATCAGAAATACAGAATACTATTCACTGCATAGTAGTTTGCTCTTTGAATGTATTTCACCTCTTTTTCCCCAAATATTTTATATTTGATACAATGAACTTCAGATGCTCCAGCATTATTCTGAAGCAAGTACTACCAACTTCCCCTGCTTATAAGGGAATATTGCACCAGTATTACTCTCTCCAGATGATACAGTTTCTGCCTTACTCTGACAGTCTTGTGTTTTCACCTTCTTGGTGACCACAAGGTCTCTCTCTGCCTCCATATTCGAGCTGTACAGAGGAAAGATGAACGAAGACAACAAGGTGGGATTTTGAAACTACGGCTTAATCTGAAGCCACGTTAAATCAAGTTCTATTTCCTTCAGACAGCACCTGTCTTCCATAAAAGGACATGAAATATATCTTCATTCAAATGCAGGATTATTACTATTCATATATTATCCAAATGACTTAATGAATTATTCAAAACTGGTGTTGAATAATCTCTCACGGGATCTAAAGACACACTTGGTTTTAGAAATTCTTTTTCATTAAACATCTCTCTCTTCAAATCAAGCCACGCTTGCATTTCAGTGGCTGATGCAATACAAAAAATTAAGCATAATAACCTGGTACTTTTCCACAGTCTCCTCAGATAAGGCCTTGACAATCCCTATATAGACTGGTTTGAGAAAGATCTCCTTCCAGAAAAATGAATTCTGAGATCAGATGCTTCTGCCACAAGATTTCTTGCTCAGTCTGGGGGTGAGAATTTCTAGCAAAGAATTCATAGAAGATCCTTAGTATTCTCTGAAAGGTTATGAGTTAAAAAAATGCAGGGAAATGATTGAAAAAAATACAAGATAAACTTGGAGGAACATAAAACTGGGTTTAGTGCATTGCTGTTGAGTTTCTTCAGAATGAACACTGTACTCCCGAAGCCACTTCCAGTGCTTTAACTAGGAGAAAGCTTAGTGAAATGTCCCCATTTTCAAAAGCTCATATGCTGAGCTACTGTAAAGAGATAAAGCAAGATCCATAACTCCTCACTGTCTTATTTTTCGCCCCTAACATTCCTGTTCCTTCGCAACTCACTGGAGCAAGTCATTGTTTTGCCTTTCATAGATGTACAGAAGTATTGCCCCCGGCAACGCTCCTGGAAATGTAGTTCAAAAGATTTGCTTCATGTTGGCTGCTGAGAACGATGATCATCTCAGTAAAACACTGATAAGGAAGAGCTAAAAAAGTGTTTCCAATACAAACCATGACATGTACAGTGCTCCTAGCCAGGCCTGGTTTATTCCTCATTGGTATGGTCTCCTGGCACAGAGTCACTGAAGGCCCTGAAGACCTTCTGTGAAGAGCAGTCCCAGACATTGTATTTAACTAGTTCAGGCAGCTAAGCTTTCCTTAAGCTATCTGGAGAAGACACAGAGTGCTATTACACAAACGATCTCTAAACCAGTATCTGTTCTCTCAGAGATAAGGACAAGAAACGTAAACTTTTTCAAGGCCCCATTAATTTTCCTGGTTTTAACCTGTGCTATGACATGCTTGATAAGAGCAGTGTATTTCATTCTCGGCATTGTTGTAGCACTTGCAGTCTTCAGCTACTCTTCACGGCAGGTACAAGGTGATCGCTGTGAAATGCGACGCTGCATTAAGGAAAGATCGCAGCAATTCCGATTTTCCTCCTTTCCTTTGTATGCGTGTTGTTTACTTTTGCCAGTAGCCACAAAAGCTGTCAGAGTGGGCACACACAGAGGTCGTTTCATGTTTTTCTTACACAGTTCTGCTTCACTTTTTGAAAGAGTCCAGGGTCGCACTACAGGCTTTGCAGTTAGTCAGAGTGCTCAAAACCAACACTTGAATCAGAGAGTCTTGACAGCTCAGCTCTGCGAATCTTCACGTGCGTTCAGGGCTTCCATCCTTCAGACAACTGTTCTCTCTGTGTTTGGTCTTCACTTTATCAGAAGCAGGGGATCACTTTGCACAAATGTGTTCACCCTGTTCCACCTTGCTCACTGCCCAGAATACAAGCCAGACCCCAACAATGCTGCTACTTTGTTAAATAGAGCTGCTGTAAAACCTGTCTTGGCATTTCACAAATGTTTAGGTGTGACACCAAGTCCAAAAAAAGTTTTGAACCTGAGGCCACCCTTACTTTTCAAAGACTGAAACTAAGAATTGACTAAGCTTACATTAAAAAAGCTCAAGTCCCACATGCCATCTCCCAGTTCACCTCTTCCCCTGCATGACCTTGCAGTCACTACACCGGCCTTTCTCCAATAACTGCTATTCATACTGATGCTCCACTGACTTCTCAGCCCCAAATATTGCCCTGGGCACTCTCCAACTCCACAAGCCACTTTCCTACTGACTCAGGTGCAGGCAAAAAGCCTTCAGGCCAATCCCACAGCCTGCACCAGGACTCCTTCAATACAGACACTTCTGCAACCCCACAAAGCACTCCATGCTCCACTTGATGGGCTTACACAGAGTCCCTTTCAGGCACTTCTCCATGGATGTTCATGCTGATATGATGTTATGCCAATAGGTGGGATGAACAACAAAAAAAATCTTTAGTCCAGAATTTCACTGCCATTTTTGTGATCTCATAGAAATGCCCTAAATTTTGAAAAAAGTTTCTTTGCATAAAGGTAAATTGCCACGCAGACCTTTGATGGGCCTGGTATGGCTGGCCACAGGTACCTTCTTAATCTAAAACTCCCTCCTCCTGGAAGCTCACTTATCAAGCACCGAATGTTTCCTTCCTACTTATTCATCAGTGAAGATGAATGAACGACTAGAGCCTAGCTATGCCTACCCCTGATCCTTCCTTTCGAACTCTGGTCCCAGCAAGCAACACCACAGCTCAGGTCCTTCGCCCTCCCCTTGTGATGGAGGCAAGCCACACACAGCAAGCCTAGGCATTTACACAGGCTCTCTCTCCTGTGTGGCTGCCTAGGGCTGAATGACAATCAAAACCTAGAGATCTTTCAAATATCTCATTTTTTTTCTGACCCAGTGGAGAAGCCTCCACAGCCAGGGTGACAAGAAAAAGTATAGAGGAAAGCTCAGCACGTGGCTGTACTAAAAGATTCAGGGACTCCAGGAGGGCTCTTACAGGCAGAGCTCCAACAGGGCACTTGATTATCTCCTCTGCTCTAGAGCACCTTGGCTTTTCCTATCGTGGCTTACTATTTACTGCACTTCTTGTGTGAGAATTGAAGGCATCCTATAAGGAAAGCTCAGGGTGGGGAGGGTGACATAACTCTCTGGGACAGTCTCTGGTGAAATGCATAAAAAGAAAAGAATAAATGATGTATTGGTCTTCTTAGTTTTGAGCTCAGTAACATCACTAGAAGGCAGGAAAACTCCATAATGTCAACAAAGTTAAAGCAACAGAAAAGCATTGTAAATAAGAACAAATGAGAGAGATCTCACAACTACAAATTTGGTGCAAGCTTACTGTACTTTCTGCAAACATTCCTTCTACTACACTTAAAGAGAAAGAAAAAAAAAAATCAACCCCAACTTCTTGGAGCCAGTCTCTTAACGTAATTTAAATCAGGTAAAATGATCTGCTTTAACTCATAAGGCAAGTAGAACTGGCAGTATCAGACTCTTTGACAGTATGAGTAAACCTCACATGGACAAAGATAAATGGAAGGGTGCTGCATGCAAAATGAAAGAGTGAAGACTGCTAGACACATGTATATTTTATTAAAAGGAATACACTTCTACACCAGGAGAACCCATATAAATCACAAGGCCTCAGCTCACAACAATTTAACAATCTTCTATAAATACCAACTAAAAATATTCACCTGTAACACATTTGTTTCAATTCACTTCACTGTGCCTATAAATAATCTCTGTCAAACAGGAACTCATGCTGATCCACAGACTACACTAATCAGTCCACACAAATAATTTCTTGCAATTTCAATAAAATACTCAAAGAATTTGAACAATCATAAGTAAGCAAAGAATTCATAAACTCCCCCAATTAACCCTAACTTACAGCTCCCTATTTATGCACACCTAAACCACAGCACACATCAGATTTCCCAACACCTGTCCTCCAGGTGGATGCTTACCTGAGCTGTTGGATTAGATCTTCCCCTTCTTTAATAACATTGAGGGTAGCATCCAAGGTGGCTGTTTGCTGCTGCTGAAACTGCTTGATAAGCTCCTGAACCGCATCCACAGAATCAGCACAGACATCCTCTAAGAGCTCCTTCTGCAGATCTTCCATCCATGTCCACAGCTGGGAAGGAGGGGAGGGAAATATAAATCAGAGAGGGATTGAGATTTAACCCTTTTGCTCTCTAATTCCAGATCAGTAAGCATTAACCAGGGCTGCATATTTCACATGAGAACAGACCTAAAGTTTTTAAAAATAAAAAGATATATTGGTTATTGATTCTAGTTGATGCGATTCAATTCCATTTTAAACAATAAAAATAAATATAACATCAGGTAATTTTTACCAAAATTAATTTGCATTTAAGTGTATTATACAACAATAACTGATTCTAGTCTTCTAATTAACTTATTTCACAAGTAACAAATTACAATGTCCTGCAGCTGTGATAACCTACCCCTTTCAGGAGCTGAGTGCTATCAGCTGCTGTTAATTCCACATGCAGCTGAAGCCTGTTGCAGAACAGATCTGAAATCTCTGGTGTGTATGTGTGGTACTGGCTGAAGTCTAGCTATGCCTGCTTAGCTATGCCTTCCCAGGCAGAAGGTTTTGTGAAGGGTTTGAGGTTTTTGGAGGTTTTTTTGGTTTCATTTTTTTTTGTGGGTTCCTGCCACTTGCCCCCCTCCTCAAAATGCATCTCAGACTCTGAGTCTTTTTGCCTTTGGGAAAAACCAAGTGTAGGCGACAGCAGTATCACCAATCCCACGTAGATCCATTAATTTTACATAGTCTTGACTAACAATTTCCAAATAACAACAACAACAAATCATTTGAGTAAGTGCTTAGATGAGAATTTCCAGCCAGCTGTTCATCAGAGATCTGGACGGTGGCAGGCAAGCCCCAGCAGCCCCTCGTTGGCTGTAAAGCTTTAAAGAGAACAGAGGTTTCCCCTTTAAGTCTGCTCTGAAAAGTGAGTGTAAAATTGCACCAACCGAGCTGGCAATCTGCCAGCAAATCCTAATGACTCCACCAGTGAGACTGTTTTCTGTGCCATGCCTGCCCCATTAACCCACATTCTGCTGGTATGTTCTGCAATGTAGCGGAGTAGTACAGGAGCGGGGAAACCACACGCTGCACTGGGAACCATCAAAGGACGCGGTGCTGGCGGCAGTGGGGCTGCATCTCTGCCTGCCATCCCAGGGAGCTGCAAAGCAGCTTGTCTCAAAGGGAGCTGGAGGTACTCATGCAGCAGACGACAGACGTGTGGGGGTGGCAAAAGAGCTGATAAAAATGTTCCTGTTCAAAACGAGGTGCGCTGGATCCCCCTCCTACAGGATTTCTTCTGAGATTGCGAATTCTGCATGTCCGTGTAAAATGAAAGGAGGAGAGGGATGTCTTAAGCGCCAGTTGGCAAGGCTTCTCCCAGTTAGGGTCCAAACCTAAGGCCCGTGTCAAATGTTGTACTATCTGCACATTACTGACTTCAAGGATATCACCCTGAGCTAAACCACAAAAACCAAAATCAGAACCTGTCCCAGCACTGCTCATGATACCAGAGAAGGGACAGCCCACTTCCCTGTGCTCTGTCCCCACCTCTGCTACTGACTTCTTGCTTGACAGGCTTAAAAAAAACAAGTTTTAAAACATATGCTTAATTTGAAGGCTTTTCAGTTAGATTTTCAGAGTCAGCTTTGAATATTTTGGGTAATCGCCTCTGTTTATTCATAAATAACATAATCATACTGGTCTACTCTACTACTGGCCTGAAATAGAATGTCTTTGCTCAGGTTATTTAGATATTTTCCCATTCTCATGAGAAATGCATGATATAAAAAGGCAACTATTAATAAAAGTAACAAATAAAATTAAGTAGCCAGGCTTGTGAAATAAATGAAATAATAAAAACATATTTAAAGAACCAAATAGAGAGCTTTTACATTTGTGGCCTGAGGTCCAGGTGCTGAACTTTGGGAAGCCACCATGAAGGAAAATGCATTAATGCCTTTATATATGAATTGCATTCAGAATCTTCCTGGTTTTGCTCTCTTCCCTGTACCTACTCAAACAGTAGGGACAGCTGAACTATAAGAGGCGAGGACCAGGCTGTTTGGGAATATTACTTTCTCCACTTACCAGATCTTCAAAGTAACTTTCTAAATATAGAAGAGAAAATGATCATGCGTATAAATCATACTTCTGTTTCGAGTTGGGAAAGACAATAGTTTTTTTAATTTCTTGCTGTTCTTTGCCATATTTCATTTTTCTACTTAAGATAACAAGAAAAGCTCAGGGAATTTCCTTTATAAAAATAAAAGTGAAATTGAGAACTTACTTCATTGTTAGGAATCCGCTTTTTTCTTGAAACTATCATGTTAGAAAGGGCAGAGGAGAAAGTTTCCGATCCCCCACTGTGACTTCAGAGGGAAACCCTGTTTTCAAAAGTGTCTCCAGAACCTGGAGACTATTTTCTGTGCCATGCCTGCCCCATTAACCCACATTCTGCTGTCACATTCAGCAACAGTCAAACCGATTTGGACATTTAAGATCCTAAGACACTTTTTGAGTATGCTTCTAAATCAAAGCAGTTTTGAAATACTTAAACATAAACTGTACTGTACTCACCTGGAACCAAAACACTCATTAATTTCTGAGAGCACTCAAATATATTAACTCATATTAGCTTCAGATATTTCCATTAATGACCTCTGATTGTAAGGATTTGCATAATAAAATCTATCAGAATCTAGGTCATCCTTGACTCAGAGACCTTTAATCCTTTAGATTTCACCAATCCCTGGGAAATCCTAATACAAAGAATCCGTCAATATTAATAAGATTAGGAAGATCTTTCAGGAACAATCTACAATAAGAACATGATTCAAAAACCTCCTAGGTTATGTGCTACAACTGACAGCACCTGAAATAAATTACTACCAAGCTCCACTTGTGAATGCAATGAAAAGAAGAACTTCATGTCACTGCAACACCAGAGTCAGAAGAGCTGTTAATCATGAAACAGAAATCACATGTTTGTCACAGCTCAGGAAAATCAGTCCCTATTAGGGTCTGATGTTTAATTCCAATGCAACTATTCAACTGATTTAAAAAACCTGACTACTAAAACCCCAAACCACCAGCATCTTGTGCGTTTCCTGTTTCATGCCGTGACCTACTCTGAACAGCTAGCTAGCTTAGACTGAGTGAACTGTTTCAATTTTTCATTAAAATTCCACATGTTACACAGGACTTTAATCTCGTATTTGCAGAAACTGCCTTTCTTCTTTCATTCTTAGCACGAGCAAAATTTGTGATCCCCTGTCCCATTCACATACATACATACTCCAAACTACTGCTAATATATCACGTGATCCTGTGCAGGGGGTATATGTAGATACATGCAGATATTTTAAATACTAACACAATATTTCCCCATCCAGCTGTGGTGATTTCTACTAAGTTTGCCAGCGATGCACATGTCCAGAAAAGGAGATAATCTCTGCACTGTATTGCTTAACATGTACTAAACCAAAGATACAGAATCCTGGAAAACAATGAAGAAATAACACAAAAATACTTTTTTTGCTTACTTCAAATTGATCTATGCTTTGGTATGATCCATAGGATATAGACATAAAGATGTTAGTGGAAAAACCTCAGTTAAGTCTATCAGAGAGATCCAGCCCCAAATCTGACTCATGCAAACTATATCTAAAAATGTTAGAGTTGTCAGCTACACAGAAGTCTAAGGCAAAAACCTAGCCCTAAAACATCCGTGCTGAAGGTCCATAGAGACTCCAGAACTGAGGCTTTATTTATCAAGGTAACCATGGCTTTAAACAAGAAAACCAACTCTCTTCTGATTACTAGCCCAGTGGAAAATAAGAATAGCCCCCTCCCTTCTTTTGGGGGAGCACGGGGGAGCATCTGGCATCTCTCATACATTGTAACAACTTCTGCGTCTTTCTTGGGTATAACACACAGGCAGTTTCCCTCCATCCAAGAGACAATACAGCTCTTTATTTCCAGCTATTTCATTTGATGCAATACCCTTCATTTTAGTCAAGTGCTTAATGAGACCACTTACTGGAAGTTTGAAGGACATCTGTGCCTGTTACCTAGAAATTAATGCTTCTGACATAGAGCAAGGGACCACTTTAAGCAAAATCTAAAACCTAAAGAGATTGCTAAGAAAATCTTGCCTGCGTGTTTGGAATAACTATTAAACACTCAGTGTTTATAAGCTGCTATTTTCAAATGCCGGAGATGAGTTTTAATCTCTTCAAAACCAGTTTAAAAACACGGAGTAATGAGAACAGTGAAAAGCAAAGGACCAGTCAGTTCAATCCACAAGAATTACCATTGTACAACATTCTTGCTAGTCATTCAAAACAAGGATGTGAATGGAAACAAGCAACTTTCCAGGGTATATGTTCTACCCCTTTACTATGGCAGAAAAGTGTCATGTGTTGCAGAGCAGGACCCAAAAGGATGCTCATGCCAACTCAGTGAAGTGAACATCCATCACAGCAATGAAGGCGACAGCAGAAGGCAGAAGAATGCAGTGAAATATGGGGACTCTCTCTTCCCACCTGATTTGCATTGCTTCCACTCCATCAGTTGTAACACAAGTGTCCAGAGAACCAAGGGCAGGTTGAGAAAAAAAGCCAAACACAAACATAATTGCTCCAGAGAGAGATGTCCATCAATGCTATTTTCCTCTGCTACTACGCCAGCCTTACACAAACCTATTCTGAGCAGTATCATCTAGCTTTTTCATAATATGCATTAATAAGTCACACAGACCCCAAGTTCAGCTTAATTTATGGCAGGACTTCAGCCTGTGCCTATGTTTAAGCACCTGTTGAAGTGCTGTTGTGAATCTGGCTTCACTGCGCAGCCTTCAGGGAATTGTCTTTTCTACTTTGATTTCCCCACACCAACATGGTGGAGACAATAAGGCTTTTCAGGACAATTAACCTTCATCAGCTGATGTTTATTTACATGCAGAACGCATCTAATGCCGTTTCAGTTGAAAGAACTGATGGTAGTTATAAATTGGAAGCATATTTCAACATGTTCCAAAGTTACATTCAAGGTCTCACGGAAATGCCAACAAAAATATA